TGAAATATGCCTCTGCTTTTCTTTAAAAAGGAATTGCATAGAATTTGTAAGAATGGTAGAAAAACAAACTATAATATATGCCTACTTTAAGAACCCATGCTACACTCTATCTATTGCCATAAAATACATAATGTAATTCAAAGTCATGCTAATAAATAATTAACCAAACTGAAAGATTACCAATATCTTTTATCCAACCAATCCAAACTACTAATTCTAACTGAATAACATGCAAATCTAGAAGGGTGGGGGGAATTGACAAAAGAATACTAAAATAGGAATACAGTACTGACCTCAGAAAAGTCACAAACTACCTGTCCTGGGGGGAGGAAAAGAGGGGAACAAACCAACTAAAAGCCTCCTTGTTTTCTTTTTTACATTTGTCAAACTCCAATTTCATTTCATTTTATGAACTAACTGAATCGTGGATCCAAAAGCTACTCACTGCACTAGTACCTTCTAAGAGGAGAAAGTTAGCTATAAATGATGACTATTTACATCAGCCACATTTCACATATTTAAAAAAAGAAAAACAAAAAATAAAACACCCCCCCCAACCATCTTTGGGAGCTTTCCTAAAGTGCAGGTGTGAAAATTACTCCAGCTGGGTCTGAAATAGAATTCATAGTATTCCCTGAACAACTGCTAAAGCTCAACATCAAACATTCACTCAGGTTGGGTGAGTAAACAATGCTTTCCCCACATTTTTGAGAAGTCTGAACCACAATAAGATAGATGATAATTAATCAAAATCCAATATCTTTAGAGTTGTGTGACATAAAACTAAATAAATGGTACTGGGTGACAATATATCATTAAGTAATTTGGATGTAGAATGCACCAGATGGATGCTTCTACATGAAGGAAATTAAGATGAACATTTGTATTAAGGGTATATTTGCATAGCCACATTGTCTTTGCAAATTTAATGGAATGGAATAAGATGTATTTAAATGCTATGCATGTCTGTGTAAGATGGAAAGTTAACTTTCTTCAAGGCTCTTAGAAGAGTCTTTAGACTCAAAATGGAACAATCATGTTATGGGAATACCTCTGACCTATCAATACTGAAACAAGTTCTAGATGAAACTTTTTCTATCACAGGATTAGGGACATCAAAATATTAGTCAGAGGCTATGAGGAATCACTAAAATTTTTCTTTTTTTACAGATTTGTTTATAGCTATAATTTACTTATGATCATGATGACATAATTCTATGAAGTATATCATGGCATAAGTTATCTGTTTTTCTGTGCAATAACCATCTTGAATGTCTCTTCACTCCAGGAAAATACTAGTTTCTAAGTAAATCAAAATGACAGGCAGACCTGAAAGAGATAGAGTTGCTGCATTAAAGCATTTAACATCAAATTCACAATAGAATGTCATCACTGTTCATCTGGCATATTTGTAAGAATGTTCTTGGACAGAGGAAGTTTAGAAGGATTTCTATGTAAAAATGAATAGCTTTATTATTCAAGGTGGACATTGTCCTTTAAACCCTGCATGTCCATTTGCACAGCTGCTTTGAAATTGGCCAAAATCCAGCGTATGCAGAATATACTTTAAATCAGCCCTTAGTACTCTAATTGTAAAAAATGGTAAGGGTTTTTGTTGTTGTTGTTGTTGTTATTTTGGTCATGACACTTGTTTCTGGAACATGTCATATGTGGATATGCATGAAGTGGTACAAAATCGGCTATGGAATTTATATCCTGTACAATCTGAGTAACCTTTATGATTTCTACCAGTTGAGGATATTTTAGAGAAATCTATATAGATGCATCATTTCATAAGGATAAAGTAGCTTCACCTATGAATGTTATATGTATGCATGTATGTATCAATGATTTAGGTGGAGGCTAAAAACATACTGCCACAGAAAGTTCAAAAAGCTGGAGTTTCTTAAATTATACTGATATGTGTTCTGAAAGAAATTGATTAGAAAAAAAACATAAATCAAATAAAAGACAAGAAGTTAAATTTGCCAGTACAAAATACCCAAATTAGTTTAAATTTTTTTCTTTGCTTTTTAAACTTCTTCACTAATGTTTAATCAATCAGAAATAAATCAACAGAGCAGGCAGTCTCAAAGAAGATAGATATTTGATAGTTAAACCTTGCCTTTAAACACAGTTTTCAAGAAATTTTTGATCCATGTTGCATCTGAGTCAAAAGAATAGAATTAGAAAGAGCAAAAAGCTGTCTCAGTTTCTAATATTGTTTGTTTGATTGGAAAATCATGCATATAAAAATCAGAAGAGACAGACTTACATTGGTTGAGACATGTCATCTTTTTAGTAGAAAGGGAACACTCTCGATCTTTATGCAATTGGGCTAACACAATTACCCTCAAGAATAACAGGCACCAACCCAAAGAACAGGCTTCATCTTACTAACCAAATTCAAGAAGCCATAACCCAATCCTGCCTTCCCTAATCACATGTTGTGAGCTATTTTCAAATTCAGTTTATTACTTTTCTTCTGTAGCATTCCTGGATAGCTAATGGAAAATAATTAATTTCTATTTGCCAACTTGTTTTCCAGGCAAGAAACATACTCTCTGTGAAGAGTATGCTGCAACTATTAATTCAATTTCCAAATTGTTAATCTTATACAGCCTAGTACTTAGAGTCTAATTCCATATGCTAATCTGCAAGGATATTGAGACTATATCTAAATTTTTCCCACAGTTGTGATGCTAAGGCTAAACCAAAGCAGTTTTTTTTAATGACAAACTAATGTCATTAAAAAGTTTTCTAGGCTCTGTTTCAGTAATTAGTAAACTAATACTCCATACCCAATAGTTATCATCAATCTAATACTTAGGGCTTTTCTTAAGGAAAGAGAAATGGATATGCCCTCCAAGTAGTTCCTTGCTAAGTAGGCTATCACATGATAAATAATAATTATCTTGGAAGATTTAATTTCCAACAGTTTCATCTTGGTAACATTTAATAATTTCATTATTTTAACAGTTTGAAATGCCAAAAGAACACGCTGATCCTGCAACTAAGCTTGTTAAAGGACAGCCTCACAAGCAACATAGAGAAGAACATATTCCACTGGGAAAAGGGTAACAATTAAAAAAATAGAAATAACAGCTGGACAAAACAGCACACTTTCACATTTAAGCTTTCATTTTAACAATTACTACTTTAGAATTCCAATCAAACTAGATGCCTTACTCTTTAAAAGCTATATAACTATTTACAAGAGACTATATATATATATATGTATATATGTATACTGATATCAAGCATTTTGCAAATGCACATGCAATCTCTCTTCTGGTACTATGTATGCAAAATAGTAATTCTTTTTTTTTTTTTAGTAAAATGGGGCAAAACTATGGACTTCCATTTTCTAGCACCATCTTACCCACACTGAATCTAAGGAAAACAGTGAGGTTTCTTTCCCATCATATATTTGATACATACCTTGGCAAGGAGGGCTCCCATGTTGAGTAGGAGATATCTTAGAAACAAAAAGAGGCCTTTTGTAGTAAATCTTGTTAATAGCTTATTTAAAATTAACAAGTTTGTTAAGATTAATATAGGACCAAGTTTAAATCTCTTGCTCAACTACAATACTATTGTACTTCCAAACTGTCTTCAGGCTTATTAATGTATATATTATAGAAAGGGTAAGGTCATTTTCATATCAATATTTAATCTAAAATAATTTGGTACCACTTAAAGAAATATAAATGACATTTTGATTAAAAAAAATGCCCAGAAATGAGTTTTGGGAAAGAGAAAAAGAGGTACCAAGAAAAACCTGAGAGAAAAATCAATAAGAATGTCTTCCATTGTAAATTACCAGTAGGATGGGATTAGAAAAGCAACACTTTAAATCAGATAAAGTCCTTTGGGAATCTAAAAGGCTAGTTGCTATGAACTTCTCAATATACAGGGAAATAGATTAATATTAGTGGTGACATCATTGGTCCTCAATGTGTACTGAGTTTCCTCTAAGAAACTGGCTTTCCCCCCTATTGTTCAAAAGATATTAATTTAGGTGGTAATAAAAAAATGAGGAGCAGTCACAGAGTCAATAAAACTCTTATAACATATTTAAGACCATAAAAAACCTGTCCTAATCCTTCATTAGATTAAATGCCTGAGGCGTCTTAATATGCCAACATAGCAACAAAAGCAACACTATACGGAGGAAAAAAATACACGTGTACATGCATGATCAGGAAATTAAATATTTTATCTCTTCCCCCCCAACTATATCTTAATTTAAAAGCTTTAAAGAATAACAATTTTAAGATTAGAATTCATATATGTTTTAAACTCTCAAGTGATCACAGATTTCCTTTTTCCATGTAAACATATACATTTAGTATGCAATCATCTGTGGAAAAGTAAAAAGAATTAAGGGTTCCAAATTAGCATGAAGAAAGAACTTTTAAAAAAAATTAAATGTGTTAAATACCAGGTTATGAGTTAGTCAAATTAGTTCCATTTTTTAGTATTCTGGTTTTAGTTCAGTGTTTAGTATCTGTTTTCTCTCTCTACTCATTTGCATTTGGTTATCCAGAAAGTTTATTGTTTCCTATGTATGTCTCACTTTATCTGTGTTCTAGGTTTGGTGCAGAGATCCGTTTGAATTAAAAAGACATGCTTGTTCATGTTTATAGATATTCAGTAACAAACCCAAGAACCCAATTTGCAAACATTTCCTATTATCCATTTTCTTCATCAATATACAGATGCATACAGATAAATATTGGTCAGTGCACATTCAATAAAGAAATGGGAAGGGTGTAAGAAACATTAGGAAGAAAAAACAGGGGGACCACTGATAGGAATATTAAAAAAGACTGACAGCTAGATATTTAAATAACCATATGGATGTATGAATTGTACATATACACACGCATATATTGAACAAGAAAAGCACGCACCCGCCGCTTCAGGGCTCACCCTGGTCAGCACCACAGGGGCGGGAAGCAGAAAAGTATTGCCAGTGGAACTCTTCCAATCCTTACCCTTCTCATCCCCTGGTTCTCCGCCGGGGATCCGGTACCCTCAGTCCCTCTGGGGCTCTTGACAAACGTTGTGGATGGAGACTTCTCAGCTAGAATGAAAGATCCCACACTTATTCTACAGACCCCGCCAGGGCAGGGAGCACTGAAGGTGCCCCGCCCCAGGCCAGGGCCAGGGACCTAGGCACTAGGGGAGTGAAGAGGCGAGTGAGCCCAAGTGCAGAGAAGAGGAGAAGAAGGCAGAGAAGGGAGGGAGGCGGTGCCGCTGGGCGTGAGGAAGAGAGAGAGGGAGAGGAGGGGTAGGGTGGGCTAAGCTAGGGTGGAGTGGGGTGTGTCCGTCAGTCTGGCTGCCTGTCTGTCCAAGCCCCTGTCAGCACTCTTTTTCTCTGCAGTCTCTTCTCTCACTGATCTAACCCCCTACTCAAAGAAGCTACTCCGTCTCAAGCTTTTTGCAGGGAAATGAGCAGAGAAGCTTCGTCCTCCTGTCGCCCTCTCCCCTCCGTCTCTTCTCAATCCTCCTCCTTCCCCTTCCCCTCCTCCTCTACGGTCTCCAAGTCCCAGCTCAGCTGGGGGACGCCTGCCTCCTCTCCTCTCCTGGTGTACCTCAGCCAGCCTGGGCCAGTGCGCCTGGCTTCTGCTGCTTGCCTGATCCCTGTCCCTGGCGCTCTCTCTCTCTCTCTCTCTCTTTCCCTTTTCCTTCCCTTCCCTCCTTCTCCTCCTGCTCGCTCTCTGTGTCTGTCTCTCTTGCGCTCTCTCTCCAGTCCCATTTATGAAGCTCGGGTCCCATCACGTGTTAATGAGCCTTTGTCCTGTCCCTGGCAGCGGCCGCCCAGACACCGCCGCTGCCACGGGAGCTACGAGGGGAGGGACAGGGGAGTAGGGGAGAGGGAGCAAAGAGCCGAGGGCAGGACGAACTGGAGGTGGCTCCGAAGCCTCCAAACTTCGCTCCGGCAGCCGCCGCCGCCCCCTCACGCCTCCGGGAGACCTGCTGCTGCTGCTGCTGCTGCTGCTTCAGCACCCACCAGCCCTGGGGCTAAAGATCCTCTGGCTTGACCTCCTCCCCAGCTAGCCCGAGGGCTCCCAGGGGCTTTGACCCCTGTCTGCTCACAAATGTGAGCCAATACTGGGGCGGGGGGGTCCCCGCGGGGCTTGACCCCCGGGACCATTCTTGATCGCCACCTAGGTCAGACACATCAGTATCACCTTGCTGCTGGAGCAGTGGCGCGCTTTACCTCCCGGGACCAGACTGAACTGGGTGGGCTGGGGGAGGCAGAGTGAGAGGAGGAAGGAAAGAAGGAAGAGACTCCCGGAGCCTGGACCACCTCTCCCTACTCAGCGTAGGCCAGCAACCTAGGCAAAGGCATACGATGTCTTCGGGTCTCCTCGGGAGGGCCTCGAGGTGCTACCTGGGCTGCTGCTTCGCCACCTGTCCTCCTTCCTCGAGGCACCTGTCCTCTTTCCAGGGCGCCAAGCCTCCCCACATCCATCTCCTTCTCCTCCCCCTCGGGCCTCTCGGTCTCCCCTCCTCCATTCCTTCCCTCGGCCGTGCCTTCTCACTCCCACACCTTGCTCCCCCGCCCCCCCCTTTTCACTTCGGGGCTCAAGGCCTGGAGCAAATTACTTAAAGACTGCCCACCTGGCCAGCCCTAGCCGCAACCTCTTTTGATTTGCATCCCCCAGGTGCGGTTTCCTGCATTTTCTTCTGTCTCTCCCAGCCAACTCCCTCGCCCCACCTCACGGACTGCACACACCGTCTGCCCCGACACCCTGGCCAGGGGGACTGGCTCCGCTAGATCAGCTGTGTGCTGCGGGGCAGGGAGCTGCCACTGAAGACGCCTAGAGATGCGTGTTGCACTCGGAGGTGGCGGCAAGAATTAGGGGACATGCTCGTTAATTGGTTACAATATCAACCGCCGTCTGCCTCCCCTGTGCACGGATCAAACCTTAATTGGTCTTTACATTTATCATAGCGAATGTGAACCTCCAGCCTACCCCCATATCCCCTTCCTCAGCCTATCTCTTAGCTATAGAGGGAGCAGCTGAGAAAAAAAAAATTCCCCGAGGACAGTGCTGGGTGGTTTCGGCTTCTTCTTCTTGTTGTTGTTTAGACATCTTCATTTCTAGTGTGCTGGCTTGTGGGGGAGGCTCAATCTCCTTCCACCTGATGCGAGCTCCCAGTCACTCAAAATTAGTGCACCGCAGAAAAGGAGATGTAAGCCCAACCAGATTGCTGCCTCTACGCTTTTGTTGTTGTTGTTGTTGTTTTCACCCTGCAAAGGGTCCGAAGTTCACTCCTTCTCTCCTGTTACCATTTTCACTGCCACCTGCAGCACCAAAACAAACAAGCACTCATGCACAGTCTGAGAGCTTTTCTCGTGAACCCTTATTTTGTAGCCGTTCCACATTTGGGGGTCCCAGGAAAGTATGGGACTTGCCCGAAAAGTAAGAAGCTGAAAGATATCGGAGAAGGGAAAAAATTTGGAAGGAGCAGTCTGATGTGGTAGTCCACAGCCCTTTATATTAGGAAAAACTTCCGGCCTTTTTTCCTTCAATGGTAAGTTAAGATAAAGGTGCATCATTAGTAGTTAATCCAAATTTAATTATTAAAATATATGAAAATACTCCAAAGGGGAATTTACCCTTCAACAAAATGGCCAAGGAAGGGCAAACTTCTCTATGTAGAAGGAAATCCTACAGCAGTAGACACCATCGGATCTCCCCCAGGGATCTAGACTGGAGGCATCTTCCAAAGGTTACAGACTGCTTGGAGTTCCCTATTCTGAACTCTGCTACCCTCTCTTATCTCTTCCCTTTATTGTCACAAACTAGAGTCAAGGGGGACACTGCCAGGCTTTTACCCTTTCTGTAACCTCTCCCAGACACTACCTTCCAGAGTAATTAGTGTCTTAGTCTCTGCTAAGGGAAGAGATGGCCTGAACGTCATGCTCAAAATATCTAGACTGCCTGGTGCCATAAAGTTCAAACGGCAGCAAATAAAAGGAAAAGGATGCCCAGGCAGGACTTCCTCTCACTCCTTGTTAGAAGGACATCTTTCAGATGACATTATAAAAGGTTTGTGACTTATGCTCACAGAGAGCCTTTAGGTAAAAGTATTTTGCCCAGAAGGTGCTCCACTTCCAATACCACCCTCCTCTATAGAAGGGACTGTTAGTTACTATATATAGATAATACATCCTCAAAGGACCAAATCTGCTACATTTTTGTGAAGTAGGGTTTTATTACAAATTTATTACAAATTTAAAAATTTGTTTACAAATTGTAAAATTACAAATTACAAATAAATTTATTACAAATTTATTACAAATACTGGTGGCACTCGTCCTATTCAGGGCAGTGTTGCCTCACCCACTCTCCCACTACTGACTTGTTAAAGCCTAATGTGTTATGGAGGGCAATTTACAGTCTGTGGTGCTCCATGGGGATTTTCTATCTAAATTATGAGAAAATATCTGCCATCCCAGCCCTCAATTTGCTTCAGAAGAGCAGTCTAATTCTTTCAGGTTTTTTTTTTAATCTAGTTCATCCCAAATCTGTTTGGATTAACTCCTAGAATTTCCATGGAATCCTGTGGTTCCAAGTGAAAACTGAACTGTTTTTCAGAATTGTCTTAAGAATGATGAAGGGATAATTGTAGAGTGACTGGTGAAGGTACCTTGGACACTAACCAACCATTAAGCATGGGACCAAGTTCCCAATTCCATCAGCCCTTTATTCTGTTGCCATAGGGGTGGGAGTGGGAGCAGAAGCAATCTGAAAGATGGCAGCTGGTGAATAGAACTGCCTCTCCATTTTAGAGATCAAGGTTAGTACTTAGTAATGGAAACAAAATATGACTTCTAACCTAGTGTTTCATCAAGGCAAGTAGTTGAAAATGAAGAAATTATATTGTTTTATGACCATGTATGTATATCTTTACTGTTTTAAATATAACCAGGGTTCTTCAAGGATGCTAGATTGACAGATGATGAGATGACTTTTCCCCTCCTTGCCAGCAGTTGCGAGTAATATTAAAGACTCTCCCTAGCACCTCAATACACATTTTTATAAAGAATAGCTTTCACAAGTGAGAAATGGCTTAGTCTCCCACATCTGGTAGACCATTCACCTCACTCCTGAGAGACTCAGCAAAAATGACAAATGTAATCTGTCAATATACCTATTAGAAACATTATGTTGAGGCCACACATTAATTTAACACTAGGCATTGAATGCTCTTTGGCCACTACTAACTTGGGCTGAATTTGAACCACTGACCTTCTGGGGAAGGACCCTGGTGGCCCATTAATAGTAAGTATGATGCCATTCAGTCCCCCAAACTAGCTTTTTTGGTTTCTTTTTTCCTTTATCCTTTTAAAATTAGAGCTGAGTGATGATGAGCCAATTTAACTGCTGTTCTGTGTAATTTAGGTTATTCACTCAGTGAAATTAAGAGGATGAGAGCACAGTTAAGACTGCATATTTCAACTTCAAAGAAAGATCTCATTTATTCCTGACAGAAGTGCTAATAGTTACACTGGACATAGAGTATTTGGAAAGAATCTTCTGCCTTGGCAAGATCTTTGTTGATCTGAAAGGTACTGTATTTTAAGTTTCTTCTTTTACAGTACCATGATCTTCCTCCTAATCCTGCAACATGGTAATGAAGGGGAGGCAGGTTGGTACCATGGAAAGTGCTGGATTTGGAGTCAGAGAACTCAGAATGATTTATTCCACCTTTTCACCTCAGTTTCTTAATGAAGACATTGGATTGGATGACCTTTTGAGGTCCCTTCCATCCCCAAATCTATTATCCTTTCCTTTAATCCTTCAAATCAGTACTGAAGAAGACACAGGGTGGAAAGAATATTCACTAAATCTAAATTTAAACAGCCTCAGTTCAAATCCCAGCTCTGCCCCTAAAAAACCTGTGTGTCCACTCTGGGCCTCAGTTTCCCTTCTTTAATATGAGGGGATTTATGGAGTTGTCCTCTAAGGTCCTTTCCAGTTCTAGTCCTAGGTAGCGAGCAGCCTGAGAATAATGATCAATGCCTTGACTAGTGGATAGCTTAGAAAACAAAAGCATAATTATACATACATACATATTTATGTATACACACATATATGATTGATGTTCAGACCTCATCTCTGGCTAATTGCATTGAGACAC